CCCCAAAACCCCAAAACCCCAAAACCCCAAAACCCCATAGAGAAGTATTTCAAATAGAATTGACATTTTAACTACAACCTTAATATAGGGCTGATAAAATTTTATAATTAAAAATGTTAACATCTGGATTATTCGCAGGATATTCTTTTGGAGTTGGAGCCATTGTTTACAATTTGTGCAGAACAAAACTTTAGAATGATTTTGAACAAGAACTTAGAAATCTAAGAGAATACGATTTTTAGAATGAAACGATTCCACTAAAAGAGCTCCCAGTTAAATGCATGATTTTAGCAAAATATGATCCGGAATAGAACAAGGATTTATAATTCCAAAATGCAAAATAGAGTGAGCCTGATGAACAAAAGTCACAACTTTTGTTCTCAAGAGTTCTATCATGTAGTAATGTTGTAGACCCTGCTAAATATTTCACTGTAATTTTGATCAATCCCAAATTCATAATAATTGTAGTAAAATTTTGGAAGAAAAGGACTAAATCTTGATTTTAAACAAGAGGTTTAGTAGCATCAACTTCAGATCCAACTTTAGGGAAGAGTAAACTTCTTTGATTTAGATACAATCACCACTGCAACTGAATATAAGAACAAAAGTAAATATTAATCTAGCTAATATCCATATTTTTTTAGCTCTTTAAGACAGAATAAAGGAGTTTTATTATAGAAATTTAAGAAAGCTAGACTTTAATTACATCGAAAAAGGAATTATAGCAAACAAAGAAAATGAACTATTAGTAGCAGGATAATTAGACTTTGATAAAAGAAACAATAGACTAGTTATAAGAAAACCAAATCTAATAATAGGCTCTGATAGACTTGAGTTTTATGAATTTCTAGGTAGAAGAAGAGAAGTGTTCGGCCTTTAAAATCGTAATTGGGTCAAGTTTTGCGTAGGAATTACTGCTGTCCATTTCATCTTTGTAAGAGTTCCAACTTTATTCTCCTCTTATTTTGGAGATGAAGTTGGAGTTGTTTCAGAAAAATTAGGAGCGGAGGATTTATCAGAGCTTACTAGAAGATAATATCTTGCTAAATAGCAAGCTAAAAAGGAATTGTGAATATCATTTCAAGTTGTCTCGATACTTATCTGATTTATTTAAAATTTTGTCCTTCATTTTGAATATTCACAAAATTATAGATTTATGGGGTTTTGGGGTTTTGGGGTTTTGGGG